ACTACTCTGGAACAGGAAACAGAAAGTTCGAATCTGTAGTTACTTATCAACCTCGAGACGCGTCATGTCAAGAACTCCACAAGGAAGTGTAATCAGACCACTCATGTTTCTGACCTTCGTGACGTTCTGACCTTCTGACGTTTCTGACCTTCGTGCCGACTAATTTAGCTTCAAATGTACAACTCTTTGCAGATGACTGCGTAATCTATAGGATAATCAACTCGGAGAAAGACGAGGATATTTTGCAATGAGACTTAGACAAATTACACATCTGGGTAGAAACAAACGGCATGAAAGTAAACAGTTCAGAGAGCAAGCCCATCACGTTTGGTAGGGGTCGAAGTTATAATGAGTCTGCGTACAAACCTAACAATAATGTTATACCTCGAGTCACGTCTTGCTAATACTTAGGAATACAGCTAGACAGTAAAGTGAGCTAGGAAAATAAAGTCAATTTCGTTGTAGGGAAAGCCTGGAAATCTTTACATTTTGTTATACGGATACTGAAAAGGAGTACAGTGAGAGCAAAAGAACTTGCATACATGTCATTAGTGCGACCTACATTAGAATATGGCGCGGTATGTTGGTACTCATACAGAATTTTGCAACAAAGGAATCTAGAAAAAGTCCAACGAAGAGCATCAAAATTTACTTTCACGGGTACGGGAGAATAAAGGGGTATGAGAGTCACTCGGAAGGAGGAGATCAAAGTCACGTCTCTATGTAATGTATAAAGCGTACACAGGCCTTCGAGCGTGGAAAGAAATTCAAAGTCGATTAGGGAAACCTACATATTTCGGCAGAACGGATCTTACCACAAATTTCAGACAAGAATTCAGAAAACGGGCGTTGGGAAATATTCATTCGCGAATCGAACTATTCTATTAGAAACTGGAACGGTTTGCCTGTGACAATCTTCGATCCCTTTCCTCAAAGCCTGAGCAAATTTAAAAATAAATTAGTTTTGGAATGTTTATATGTGTGTTATAAATATATTTAATAAAATTCTGGTAATTAACTACGTCTTCTATGTAATTAAGTATTGTTATTATTATTATTATTATTATTATTATTATTATTATTATTACATTACAGATCGCCGTTTTGCAGTACGGTAAAGTGCAGTGTGGTGAAGTGGAGTTCTATGAAAGATTGCACGGTCAAATGTTCACGTGAATTTGTAAATTTTGTAGATTTTGTAGAGTTGTTAAGTTCTTTATTGTTACGTTAGTGTGTTCTGCCACCAAGTTCTCACACTTAATTGCAGAATTATTAATAAATCTAAATCTAAATCTAAATATTTGCTGTGGGATTATGTACATTTTAACAACCACTGGATTATAATCCAAAGTTGCGTGGGAGTCTAGCCTGGATCTCATTTGGCAATTTGTTTCACTCGATTCATAATGTCAAGGACTTATTGACATTTACTACATTTAGATTACATACATGAGGGGTCAGTTGCCCACATGATTTACTAACGCCATAGAGGTCGTTTGGTTTGAAATCTATATGCATCCTATCGCATTTTAATAATTTTTAGCATATAAGAAGGAAAACCAGCCACAGCAGTTGACTGCCGTATCGTTTTCATTTATGCCAGGCTGTAGCGGTCACATTGTAGCGGTCGCAAGGTTACACTTGAAAGAACGGTGTTGCAGCTGAAAGGTTAGTGTTTCATCGGATGGCTCACATTTCTATTATCAATTCGCGAAATAGTACTAGCAAATATCTTATTTAAGTACTATTAAATAGCCACAGAGGTTTTTCGACAGATTAATAAACAACTTAAGACATAAATGATTGTTCTATTTGGCCAAATAGAACATGAATGAACAAAAACAGACACGTGAATATTAACAATTTAAGAAATAAAAACACAAAATTAGATGTTACAAATTTAAAAGTCTATATTTTATTTTAACCAAAACTTTATTTTACGACGTATCGAGATCATGAATTGTCCTCAGGCTACAATCAATATGATGAAATTGTTGTTTAAAAAATAAATAACAGGGCTCTGCCTTTAAAAGAAACGATTCAGTAACAATGAAACACTAGCACTCGGTAATAAACAAAATGTTAAGACTCACCATTTTGAACAACAAAAAATAATTAAAACATAAATCGATAAATATGTGCATTCGCCAGTGCAAAAATACATTCAGAATGGCAATTAAATTGAGGGAGAATCTTTGAGCCAGTTAACATTTATAGCATCTGTAGGTTAATGATAGCCACAATTAAACGTGAACGGAATATTTAAATATTATTACTTTCCCCTATACATTCGTATATACCGTGTATTATTCGTAGTATGTGATGCTGTAAAAAATATATTTTGCTATTTCAACGGAAAAATACATTTTGGGGTCCCCTGATACCGAAAATGTGTCTGTCCGTTCATCTGCGAACACCACTAGCGCCTAAACCATACGAAGGATTTTTTCCAAATTGAAGACACCCCTGCTCATCTGGCTAAAATCAAACCCTTTGAGATTTTGAAAAAAATGTCTTCAAAATTGGAGAGAGCTTCACTTGAAGCCCCCCGGAAAACGGCTCCACTTTTTTGCATTAAATTTCATATAAAATAGAGTAAAATACACTTATGAAGGTGAAATATGTCCGAGTTTCACGGTTAACTCTGAATTTTTGGAAATTGCAAAAGTTTCCATTTTTTGCGGAGTCTTCCTGCAACTATAAAATTGAAGATAGAGATTTATTCTTTCAAATTATATTTATTTTCCGTAGTGAGTTCTTTTATTAAGATCATGCACATTTAAAAAAATATTAGTTGTTTTTGCGTAATATCGCGAGCAATGTAAGCAATTTTTAAAAAAAATTACAAAAACTAACTACTAAAACTAGGTTTTTAAACTGTAGAACAGAAATATTATTTTGGGAATATTAAAAAACAGTTAAACCTCCTCCTAAATCGCAATTTTCTTTAAACAATTTGAAGCTTGATTTTTTCAAAAATTAAATGCTTGTTTTTTCGAAAATTGACAAAAAAATTTTGCGTCTACAATTGTGAAGGTACAATTTTGGTTCCTAATGAAGTGTGTTATCAAAACAGATCTTAAAAAAGTCACGTTGAACTTTTCGAAAATATGAGTATTATATGAAACTGTTTTGAAACATAAGTTAATATTGCAAAAATTCAATATTGATGATAGAGGTATTTTTACGTGAAATGTGTTCTAAAAATTCAGTTCTTTATAACATGTCATATACAATTTTTTTAAAATTACGAGTAGTTTATTGTAATTTTATATTTTTGCACTTTTAAATTTGCACTTTTAAATTTCTAACATCTCGTTTGATGTGTCTGCGTGAAATTCTTTTGAATACTTCTCTTTGTTGGACACACATGGAACCATTACGAGGACTTCTTTTATTTATTTATATCCTATTTTCCCTTTAGTTAAGTGAATATGCTCGATGATTTCATGAAAAATCGTTGATTATTTCTATGTTAATTGTACGAGTGTAATTAAAATATCACTATGCAATTAAAACTATCTGTACAACAATAGGAATACAGAAAAGGAGCGACATTGTTTAATTAAGACACTATAACACATACGTAGCAAAGGTATTTCTGGGGAACATGAAACATGAACAAAAATGAACATCACACATTAAGTATCTACATCAACTACATATAAAGAACGAATGAATTAAACTAAATTGGAAAAGTAAACGGTTTAGATAGCTGACGAAGAAAACAAAAAATATTTAACGTGAATAAATTATTATTTTTACATGTAAAGCAACTAAGTACGTCTTAGGATTACAAATGTAAAAAAATGTAAGCGTCAGTTGTATTCTCCGGTTCTAACAAGTAAGCTATATCAAATGCAATAATTATAAACAGTGTCATTGCCAACAAATGTACTATTGTTGGCAATGACAACGTTTATAATTATTTCATGAAAAATGCCAACGGTTACGCACCACAACACCTACAAGCTATATCAAAACTATGTCAGAAGTGACTAGGTTTTTACTACCCAATATTTATACATGATGTATTCTCTCTCATATCTGTCTTTACTTTTCTTCTAACATTATCCGCAATATGTTCAGTACCTTCCAAATGCAAATATTTCTTGTAAACAAACAATGCAATATCCACTCTAATACATCTTTTTAGAAGGAATACGCCATCAAAGGTGAGACTCTCGAAAGGTAAAGATGTGCTTGAATTTCTCAAAATTTAAATTAAATATTCTCAAATTGAAACGAAAGAATATTGAACGAAACATGTGTACAAAAAGGTATAATTGCACTCGTGGCACATAAGAAAACTCGCTCCTATCGTCGCTTGTTTTCTTGCGCATACCATTTATGTAATTATCTCCCTCTTTATACACTCGTTTCGTTAATTACTATTTTTACGACAAAAGGAGCTAAAAGCTGCGTGTAACGTGCTATAGGGAGAAATATATTATTCTTTTCTTAAATTCTGGTATTCCCATACTAATCCACATACATGTGGAATTCTGAACGAGCGTTTCTTCTTTGATTAGTAATGAGAATTTGAAGAAATTTTCATAAATGTGAAAACGTGTGGAGAGTGATTTACATTGCATGTTCAGGCAAGGAGTAAGCTGAATTCGTATTAAAATGATAATATTACAATACTGTAGTATTTACAATTATTTGTTTTTCAATTGATTTGAATTTACTTGCCAACGCTTTCTGTGTTACTGCGTTGTAAAATATACATGGAACCCGTTCAATGTTGCTTTAAAGCTGTGGTTTAGTGGAGGTTGTATGAAGGTTTTGCCATTGTGTTTGCCATTGAAGAGGGTCTTAATTCAATGTTAAAGGAGATGAGAAATGTGAGGTCTTAAAGAACATATTTTGAATAAAGAGAGAGAGAGAGAGAGAGAGAGAGAGAGAGAGTGACAAACACAGAGAAAGAGACATAAGAAGAGAAAATACGGGAGAGACAGGGAGAAATAGTATACTAAGTTCATTACGATCTTTTCCAGCATGTTTTCGCGGCTGTTGCTTCTGGTGAAGAACATTCTCGCCTTGGTAGTCAATCTACAGCAGGCGCTGCTGTCGTTTGTCCGTGATTGGCTGCACTTCCGGCGACTGGCCAATCGCTTTCCTGGGCCCCCCTCTCTCCCGATCGTCGGCAACTTGTTCGACTGCGGCCTCTTCTCGGGCCTAACCTTCGCCAGGTTGTTTGGCGGCGGATTTGTCTGGGACCGTGAGTTTCTCCTCCTTTTCCAGGTTTTGGTATACGCATTGGTGCAGAGAGTCTAGAGAAAAAAATTATGTCCAAAAAATACACAGTTGATAGAGCAGCAAGCGACAGAAACGAACATTTAATAATGTTTGTTTTACACTTTTATAATTCCAATGTTCTAACTCGTACCGATAACAATGCCGTTTTCAATATACCCAGGAGATGTACCAAGGGTCTAAAGCACAGGTGTCATCACCAGAAGATATACCAGTTCATTGCAAAAATCACCAATGTCCTGAAAATAATATCATAGCTGGCACGGTCGGTGCACTCCCGTAACCAAGTCAGTACACCGCTCTTTTTAGCTTTCCCCTCTTCAGTAGCCCCGAAGAGTTGATTCATGAGACTGGGGTACATATACATATGCAGCCGTTTGGCTTTTGCAGATTGGGAAAGGCCTAAGTTAAACAGTATACTTTGAACTAGTTTATATTCTAAACTATAACTATTTACACACGCCTCTTTCGGCCTCTTTAGTTATACTTAAAAGTTTCAACTTTTTAAATATCAGAAATGTTAATGTTTTTGTTATTATTTTTCTTCCAACTTCTATTTTGCTATTTTATTTAAATCGCTCAATCATTCTTAAACTATATTTACAATCACTTTCATTCGCTCAGGCACGCAACACTCGACTGCTCACAGAAATAAAACATTAAGAAATAAAAAACACACAATTTATACAATTCGACAACTTTTTTATTTCTGGGTTTCTTTGTGAACAAATATATTATTTTCTTTGTGAACAAATACATTTATTTATTTTATAAATAATAAACCATTTACATGTTCTTGAAATGTTTATATATTTGTGAAATGCAAATTTTTACATAGTAAATAAATTTTGAAACAAACTTTTGAGTGCTTATTGGGGCTTAGCCATTCGGAATGTTCAAGGAGTTTATCAGACAATACGCTTGAGACTGTCTTAAGAGCTTATTTTTGAACTTTCGACGTTTGCCATCCTGGACACCCTGTGTAGGCGGTGGCGTCACGGGACTCGGGCTCGTGTTTCAGCTTGCGTGCCAACAACTTCAAATGCATTAATATAACAATGGAGGCGTTGCCTTGACATCTGACGTCATCGTTCGGATTGAAGAAGCGGCAAAGCACGCGTACACTATGGCAAATTTTCAATTTCTCGTTCCCTCTTAGCACCTTAGTAACCACAAAAATTGTATTATTATGTTGTAAAATGGCACAACAGTTGAAAAATGCCAACAAAGGACGGAAAAATGCCAACAAAGGTTAGGTGGACGCCTCACGCCCACCGGTCGCTTCACGGCCTCCAAAGAGACCTTACAAAAAACGTCTGAGCATCACCTCAGACAAGGTCTTAAAGCACGGCAGAGAACTTGAGCCCTGAACGGGGTACAAGGCGACCATTGCGAAGGTCACCAGCCGAATCGGACGACCAGTGTATGAAATACACAGCGAAGGCGGGCGTAGAGATCTGGCACGAATAGCCACGCATTTCCCGGAAGTACGAAAAGGAACCCGGGCGTTATTGATTTTAATGATTGTGAAAGGCGTTTGAGTGTGTGGTTCCGTCATGCGTACTTTACGCGTGGACGAGACGAAAAGAAGCGAAATCTTAGCCGAATTTGCTTGCGTTGCAGTTCGCGGCGTTCGAAAACGGGCGCGCGTCGCTGCCATTGGCTGCACTGCTTGGTTGTGCGCCAGTGACGCGTGCGGTCAGCAGCAATAGCATTGCCTGTTAGCCTCTACTCGCACGCCCGAGTAAGCGGAGAGGAGCTTCGAGCTGAGCTAAAAGACTGTGCGAGGGCGGCAGGTGGCCGAGAAGCGGTCTACCAGAACAGCTGCGAGTCGCTCTGGAGGGCGCGGAGTAGTGCTGAATGCGCTGTGGCGTGGTGTCTATTTTCCAAGGCGTGAGGATTGCGACCATTGCACTAATACCAAAACCTGGCAAAAATAAACTATTACGAGCAGCTATAGACTATTAGATCTACTCTCCATCTAGGGAAAACGTTTGAGAGACTGATCCTGTCACGTTTGCAAAGAAAATACGTCGTCTCAATTTCGAGTCAACTGGTCAGATGATACTCAAGTTGCTTCGAGTGGTCAGCTCGTGCGCGCTTACGCGGCTTTGCACGGAGATCGCCTGCTCGAGAGACGGCAGAAACTGCAAGTGGTCTTTCTGGATATGCGGTGGGCTTTCGACTCTGTGTGACATGCGGGTTTGCTCGAGTGCCTGCGGTGGCGGCAGTGAGCGCGATAGCTAGATCAGACTGATGCGAAGTTTTTGTCTCTGAACGGCAGTTCAAGTGCGCGTCAATAACGTATACTCGTAACCTAAGACGAGCAGAGGCAGAGCCTGCCTCAGGGGAGTGTTCATTTCTACTAACCATCCTTAGGATTATACAAAGTGAATGAAACGCGCAGCTTTCCTCTGAACAAGAACTGGTATTCAACAGCATGAGGGATTAGCCTGATGTTGCGGGATGATATTGCCGTACTAACGCGAAATCCGGCCGAAAACGAAAGGAACGTAACATTAAATACTTAAAGTGATTGTCTAGCCCTTCCATGATGGCTTAAGTCAGGAACGACTCGCACTCTCAACCTCGAGAAATGACAGTAACACACAGTCAACTTACAAACTCGTAAGAGGGTCCAACAACAATGAACGGCATGCAGACTTGGCTGGCCAGCTTACCCTTGGCCGGAGACAGAAGCAGAGATATTTGAGTTGGCACTAGCTTGCAAGGATAGCGACCTGCGCGCTTATCTCACCAGCTGCACAGAAATAAAAACCGCAATACTATTTGAAACCTCTTATGTTCGCGCGATTTAAAATGCTCTAAGTGCCGCATATGTGCACGAGCTTGCGACCGTGCCTCTGTGCGGTACGCTTGTGAAGGTATTCGAAACACAGCACAGTTCTATACCATTCTGCCACATACAGGTAGAAGAGAAACAGAGCCAGGGAAGACCCGCTTGGCCTTTTACATAGAACCCGACAGACAACCGCACAAAAAATGCCATGACGTTCTTCACAGAAATCTTAGGTCTACCGAACCAGTTCGACCGGAGGTACAAAGAGAACGGAGACGGACGCCTGAAAGGCCGTCGCGCTGCGCATCTCTGCCGCGAGACCGGCAAGGCGCGAAAGCAGAGCGGACAGGCCTTTCACAGAAGAAGGAGCCAAGACGTCTTCCACTTCAGCGCACTGCCGCACAAAGCTCTACTGACTCTAGACGCACGGGGGACCAAGCAAGTGCGTGACGGGATCGGCTACGGGAGATGCCCGAAAAACGCGCGGGGGCGGATGGCACATGCTGGAGCAGCGTCGTGGGGACAAAGACGTCGCAACAGCGGGAACCGAGACCATTAATTGAAGTCAGCAGACCTGGCGTGCTTTAAAAGTGTAATATAGAGTGGTGAAATCGTTGTGTTGTGTAATGGAATGATGAATGGTGGCGTTTTGGATAAATATATAATTATTAATAATGAGATGCCCGAGTGAAGAAGAAATAAAAAGAAGAAAATTGAACAATTCCAGAGTCCTCAAATTAAAGATTTAATAAAGAAGAATCCTAAAAAACTAACAAACCAAAAGTAGGATGTGTATAGTTATAACGTTATAGGATAGTTTTAGTGTTTGAAGCCAATTAGACCTTCATAACTGACAAGACAAAACGACGTGCAATTATTCATAATGTACAACAAGATAAATAAATTTCATGCCTCCTACCAGGGAAACTGAGGGGGAACCCCCCTCCCGAAAAAAAAAAGCGCGCAGTGTCACTACCCTGAGGAAGCCTGCGAATTCGGGAGAAACGTCGGCACCCAG